GGGAGGACCCATACCTCATGCTACTGGAGAGTCGCAACACTCCTTCAACGGATATCGGCCTGAGCCCAGTGCAGCGCCTATACAGTCGAAGGACCAGAACTGTGATGCCTGCATCCGCAACACTTCTGCGCCCTGTCACGCCACAATTTGAGAAAGTACAGAACAATTTGAAAAGGCGAATGGCTACTCAGAAACGGTACTACGACAACGGCGCACGGGAATTACCTGAGCTGACAGTGGGGGAAGAAGTATGGGTTGAACCAATTCCCGATGGACAGGAGCGGTGGAGAAAAGGAGTCGTGGCTGCGAAAGTCGGTGAAAGGTCATACGAAGTAAATGTTGGAGGGAAGAAGCTGAGAAGAAACCGAGTACAGCTGAGGAGATGTCCGAGGCGACAGCATGAATCAGGGAGAGAGCGTTATACTGCGTGCGGCAATGAGGCGACATCGGCAGATCCAACAAAGAGGACGCGAAGTGGTAAAGTGTATGGACTATTTAGCAAAGTACAGCAGCAAGAACATGAAAAAGGGAGGATGTGATGGGAGTATACACTCGAACGAACGTGCGGTGCCAGCCCAGCAAGGAAGCCGTTAGGCTGCCGCAAGCAAAGGCGGCAACCGATTGGACGTTCACACGTTTCTCGCATGCACGCTGATTGGCCAACAGTGGACGCATTGGAGTGAGTTTGTTTGACTGAATCAAAGGAAAAATGTCATGCATCAACAAAGGTCGTTAATTATGGATCCAACCAGCTGTATATACCGATATGTTTCACTCGCCCTCTGTCTCCGTTTTCGCCTGGTCCTGTTGTTTGCAGAATATACGTTTTGTCCCTGAAGGACCGACTTTTCACAGTCTCGTTCAGGGGTTCCGAGGGTTTCTGGTTCTTAATGGACGGATGGGGCTGAAAGGGAAAGGAGATACTTCGTAGGCGGCTGGAAAACCACCTAGTAAGTGTCGAGGTGGGTGGATGGTGTTCCTATGTCACATCTCGTGGCTATCTGGGCGGTACTGTCACAGCTGCCCGTAGAGGACCGAAAGCGAGGTGACTAGATGGATGGCGTGAAGGCGTACGACGGTTGACTAATACACTAACATCAAAGACGATATGGGAAAGCAAAGAGAAACGGAAACGACACTCATGATATAAGCTACGATGGACGACAACTTATCTGTTGACTGCCATTGCGACACTGATGTGCCACAGTAAGAATACCCGCATTGATATTTCGAATTTCGCGGGTATATATTCTAAATCAATTAGTGATAATGAATAACAGTAATCATTCGTGGAATCTTGTATGTACAATCATCACAATATGGTTCAACAAATAGTTCACTACCAGCATGATCATACTTCAGATGCAATCCATGCGGTCTAACCTTCATGGTCACCGAACAAAGACAAACGCTTCCTTTACGTGCTACAGGTGTGGGCGAAAGAACATGAGAGAATAACTGCTTGTAGGGCACACAACCCCAATCCACTTGCCATCGAGTGCCGGCAAGGTCGGGACGGTCCTTGCGCATGGTTGCCGCTCAACAGTACTTTCCACATCGTGTATCTTACCCTCCCAACAAATACTGTACGGACAGTAGAGAATTCCGATGACTCTTAATATCTTACTTGATTTCACATACCACCATGTCATATGTACGCGGAATACCTCCATACACTGTAGAACTTGAGGTTGAAGGTCAGCCTGTACGCCTAGAGATCGATACGGGGACCTCGGTTACGTTAGTCAACAATCAAACACTGCCTGACCTGCCACTGGTCCCGACACAGCCTGTTTTACTTTCCTTTACTGCTGAATCGCTCAAGGTACTGGGGAAGTGGGAAGCAAAGGTTACTCGTGGAGCCCACACTTTTATACTTCTCTTAATTGTTGTTAACACAGATGGCCCCGAATTACTTGTACAAACTGGCTCAAACCTTCTACTGGACTCACTCTCACCCTCACTCTCTCGGTCATACAGAGTAACCTCAGACCGCGAGGGAGACCTAGTGTATCTGCGCAGATGTTCCTTTGTTGTTGTGTAAAATATTACTCAGTTGTAGTGCGTTTTATGAAATCGCATCCACCTGGGCGAAGCTTACGTAGTCGCTTGTGACTCTCGCGCAGATATGGCGTATCCTAGGCATGAACCGCCTGTGGCCTAATTTTTGTGCTTATCGCAGAAACTAGTACTATCTATCTCTTTACTACCTGTCGGAGAATCGTATGCATGTTAGGCTTGGATGCGTTCTCCTACTATCTCATCAGATGGAGTGGTCTCTTCTACGACGACGCGCTGATACCCACAGCTCGTCTTCGGTGCTACGCCAATAAGACCTCCACGCCCAGAGCCACCAGCATCGATACCGTGCCCTCTCTCGCACACTGTTGGTAGATGCGTGCTCTCACAAGGTTGCATCTGTGACACCACAGCTCTGCGTGCTGTCTATCGCTCGCATAGTATGCTATCCTCGCGGATTGTCGAGTGATCACTATAGATGAGAACTGGCATCCATTCCGGAAACCCGCCATACTTGAGTTGACGTAACTTAGCTCGCAACGTTCTGCAACTCTTGTATCCCACTATCGCTCCACTGACTCTGTGTGTGTGTGTGTTGTTGTGTCGTGTCTTGTGTGTGTGTGAGTTGTGTTGTGTGTGAGTGTTGTGTGTAAATGTTGTGTCTATTAGTTTGTGCTTTTGTGTGTCCAATGTCCTCAGTCTACTCCAGTTTTCTTGAACAATTGACTTTCTTATCCCCCTAAACACCTCCGCTCCCCCCACATCCCTATACCCTCCTCCTGTAAACCACACGTGTTCATGTCTCTTATCATATGTAGCAACACACCATGCCATAACCACTCCAACTCAATAACTAACTATAAGATCACTCACCTCCCTGCCTCTCTTAACTTCTCCTTCCTCCCAAACTAATCATTCCAATCTTACTACTCCCAACTTTCAACCAAAACAACTTACTCAATACTCTCTCCATCTCCCGCACATATATAACACTCACACACCTCCTCTCACCTCTGACATCTCCACCACCCCCTACTCGCTCTCGCGTGTCTCAACATAAGTAATCTCTACACTCACTGTTCACTCTCCACTACTCCTCTCTGCCATATCTCCATAACCCACTATCCACCTAAATTAATGCTTACATCACCCCACACACATACACAGACATAGTCACCCCCATGTAATATATATAGAAATTACCTCAGTCCCCCCCCCTCCATGATATCAATACACCATCCACGTATATACCCCACCACAAAAACCCCCCCACTACACCACACCCCCCACAACCCCCAAAATCTGTGTATCTGTACACTACCCACACACTATATCATACCCAATCCAGAAGATATCCCCACCTCCTATAGCTACACATACCACACATAACTCCTCCTATGCAATCTCTACAATATTCTATTCTATCACACCACACATATATGTGTTCTCCACACCATCACAAGTAAAGCTCTAGTATACACTCACCCACCCCTCATTAACACCACAACCCAACCACACCCCGAAACAATATAATCTCCACAAATCCACACCCCACCACCCCCAACCCCCCAACCCACCCCCTCCATCCCCCCTACACACACCACCACATTAGCCTTACCATCACCTCATACACTACACCTGTATATCTGTAGTATGTATCCACATGAAGAGACCCACACACTCAATAGAGAAATCAACACCCAAACCCTTACCCCCACATCACCTCACAACACCCATGTGTTTCTCCCTAATCCCCTACTTTTCCACTCAAATCTTCATCCTCTCTAATTGTGTGTACCGTCTCTACCTATAATAAGCTGTAATAGACCAAATGTGTGTGTGTGTAAAAGTATACGCCTCTTCCCATTCAAACCATTCCAATCCCTACCTGATTTTATTCCCCTCCATCACAGAAAACAACTGTATGATCTACTAATGTGCCTGATGTAGTAATGTACTGATCCATATAGAACTTTCAATCCCACTAGTTGTGATTTCCCACCACTATATTATGTAGTCACTGATCAGATATACCTCAGTCCAATTGCACTATGTCTGACACCGTGTGTCCAGCACACCCTCGCCACTACGCACAGCAGATGTCCTACGTGTGTTAGCATGAACTGCTCAGATGTATATATCACCTCAACCAGTATAACACCCCCCAAACCCCCTCCCCCCCCCCACCATCCCCCACCCTCCCCCAACCCCACTAACTAATCATAAGATGTCATCACATAGATATTAGCACTAGACTTCATCACAATGTACATGCACACATTCTAAGTTACTTGACTAACTTCCCTATAACTATCCCCTCCATCTAGCATCTTATATAAACTGTTTGACCACATCATTATATTCCTCTCAGATTCCCATCCCACATCTATGATAATTCAGATGTCTCACTCATGGACTATCTACTACAAGACTGCTCACTCCTCCGCTAACAAATGCATCCATCAATAAGCGCTTACCCCATTCCCCCTTCTCCCACCTCCATGTATCAAACCCCCCCCCCCCCCCCCCCCCCCCCTACCACATACCCCCTCGCCTTCACCATTATCTCAAGCCCTATATATACCCCCCCCCCCCTAAATATTCAAATACCATACACCCACAACTACAACCCTAAACACCAACTCTCACCATCCCCTATGCCTCGTCAACCTATCCTTTGTCAATCTCCTCGTCCCCCTCCCCCCATCGTTGTCATCAATCTCTCCCACTCCCCATCTCTTCCTCTACATTACACACACTATCTATATGTACCTTCATCACTTTATATCACCCACCCCCACCCTGACTAATACCCCATCACCCCAACCAACAACAAAGAAACTTACCCCCCCCCCTACAACACAACACCCTCCAACTTAATTACAATGTATTCACCCTACAACCCAAACAAAACTCCCCCTTACCCCCCTCACACCTCAATCATTCACACAAATCCTCACACCACCCTCCCCACCCTTTCTTCACCACCCCCCTCCCCCCCCCCCCCACCACCCCTCCTCCCCCACCCCCCCCCTCAATACCCCCACCCCCCCCCCCCCCACCCCCCCCCCCACCCCCACCCACACCCCACCCCCCCCCCCCCCCCCCCCCCCTCCCCCCCCCCCCCCCCCCCCCCCCCCCCCACCCGCCCCTCCGCCCCCCCCAACTACTACATGACTGCCGCACCACATCACGCGTCCCCAAACGTAACATACGCACGCCTTTATTTGGCTGGATTAGTGAATTGAAGGCGCAAACCCATACACCCTATGTCCGCCCCCCCCCCCCCCTCTACTCATACTCCCCCCCTAACCCCCCTATCAACCTGCACCTCTCCCACCCCATCCCCCCCCCCACC